AACACTATAGAGTGGCTTCTCTGTAAGGCCTGCGTAGAGTCCGCAGTTGCCGGTGTAGATGCAGTAGACTGCTTCTTCGGTCCTCCGATCTTGAGCGACAACTTCGGCAGTGCTGCTTTCGGAGCCGGAGCAGCTATATCTCTTGTGGGTTGTGGTGTAGGTAGTGCGGCAGGTGGAACAGGCGCCTTTTCCTTCTTGTCGTCCTCATCCTCTTTCTTCTCCTCCTTTAGAGGCGTCCTCGATCTCCATCTAAACTTGTTGGTCTTTTTGAAGACCACTGATGCCTTTCCAATATGCTCCACCTTCCAATAGCGTGGCATAGACAGTTTGATACGCAGCTTGTTGGACTTTTGGTTATCGAAGATCATGTCGCAGATGTCCAAAAGCTCAGACATGTCGTTCGTAGACAGTACTTTCGACTTCAGGGCTTCTTCCAGGACCATACGCAGGGTTTGGTTGCCTTGCATGTCGCTCTTCAACCCTCTCAGAGCCCCATTAAGGTTCTGCCGGGCGAGAGCTGATGCACGCTCAGCATTACTGGCTTCGTTCTCGATCATAAGTGTGCCTGCTGAAGTGTCCGCAGCCTTCTCCGGCGCCCAGACGTCTCCAGTAGCGATTTGTCCAATCGCAATGCCAAAGATGCGTAGCAGCTGCTTTCTGAAGTACGGCGAAGGATCGGACCGAATCTCATGCATGAGGAATCTCAAGACTGTATCCTTCCGGATCATGCCGAGCCGAATCAAGCACTCCCAAGCTTTTAAGCGTACGTTGTCTGCATTTCCCAGCTGGGCGTACTGGAGAAACTCGGTCGGCTTGAACGGGGTGACCCGGCTCATGACCAACTTCAGCGCACAGTCAAGGGCGGTAGTTGTGTAAACGTTCTGGTAGGTAGGGATCCATTCGTCAAGTCTCTGGTGTCGCGTAAGCTCTCCGATGGCTTTGCTTGTGAAATCCTGCTCTTGAGCCCATTCTTCGTGACTAAGGTCGGCACTGGCTGTAGTTTTTGTGAGTGTCTCCGCAAGACAGCGCATCAGAGTAGAAATATAATGGTCGTCGCTGTAATCGTTTCCGCGGTTGTCGTTGTACCGAACAAGATCGAGCAAGAAGCGCTTCGCTTCTAGTGGTGATCTGCCATCTTCGCCCTTGATCTTTGCAATGGCTTTGGGGATAGCGCATTGTATCAGATACATGCTACGATCGGAGAAGTCATTGGAGCGAGTCATGGGTGAGTTGGGTAAGCAGAAAAGCTCGCGGAAAGCCTTCTGCAGATGGAACAGGCCAACCCACTCTGTTCGCTTCAGTGCACTCTGAGCCAAAACATTAGCGGCCATGGTCCGTATGCCGTGGAAGTATCGGTTGTCCATCAGCGTCTTGACCAAGAAAGTAGAGATCAGCTTATGACCTTCCTTGTTGGCGAGAAACTGTATTGACTCGGCTTGTGCAACGACATCCTTGTCTTGCTGCAGCTGCGAGACGTACATGTATGACGGCATGTCCTCGATGTTGGTCCGACATATCCATTCAAAGTCTGCATCGACTCGAATCCACTCGTAAGCCTCCCCCTCTTGCTTAGCCTCGTCTTCCGGTGGCCAATCGTCTAGTCGCCATTCATCGTGTTCCTGGGGAGATGTGAAGAGGTCTCCCAACATGTAGAAGGTGACATCCTCTTGAGTCTCGCCCGAAGCATCAAGGCCCGCGGCAGCAGCCATGCGCTCCTTGTTCAATCGATTCCTCTTGAGTCGTTTGTATTTGGTGTTGTACGGAATTTCTACTTTGACGTTGTTCGAATTGATATCGACGATGTGTTCGTAGGGTGTTCCGTCAGCTTCGTGAATGCGAATAGTCATCGGGCCAACAAAGGTGGGGTATCCTGTCGCTGACCGCAAGTCGCGAGACTTCTCTTTCGCTTCGCGCATGAAGTCATCCGCGGCGAGACCGCTGTCGATGTTCGTAATGGATGAGTCAGCCTGTAGCTGCTTGATAGTAAGTTGTACCACTTGCTTCTTCTTGTTGAACGAAGGTACGCAGTGAAAAGTAGGACATCCAGCTCCTACGATCCATTGCTGGAAGAACGATTCCAGCTTCTGATGTCCAACCTTCTCACAGATATCGAGGAAATCATCTGTAGCGATGGCGCCGTTGGCGTACTTGCCCTGACGAGCATTGAAAAGCATTCGGTACAGACACCTGTCGACACCATTCTTCCCGCTCTGTTTCACCAGACGGTTGTGTAGGATAGACAGTACCATGAGCGATTTCAGCTCCATGAACTCGACCTCTCCAGGATCCAGTTGTAAGACGTATCCGAGCTGCTGTAATGACGGGCGCTTGCGGTCCATCTGAATGACTCGGTCGACCATCACCTTTTGACGGAACCGCCAGTCGTTCCGACCGAACAGCTCTCGGAGGTAGAGCTCAGCCATGAACCACGATCCACCAACGATAATCCAGTGATCTTCTGGGTTGTGTGCAATCACATCAACGCCTATCCACTGGCTGGCTACTGCATGCACCAAGACTCTGGTTGTGTGCTCCAGTGGCTCCCATACAGTCTCCGGAAAGAGCAGGCGAGAGCTACAGATGGAGAATGAGGCTGTGTGCGCGGTGTCCCATTCTAAATCGTCTACGAATGCCAGCTTGTAGGAGTTGCCGAATGCATAACTCTGGAAGCGCTCGGTGAAGGTGTCAAGAGCTCGGGCCAGCATCATGGCGCTGTTCCTCACCTCATTTTCCTTGCCTGGCAAACAAAACGCGTGAACTTTGATGGCATTCTCTCCCAAGCGCTCGTCATCAAGTGTGTCGCGATATTCCGAGAGATCGACATGTTCAAAGGGACCGATTACGAAGCCGATATGCTGGGGGAGGACGAGGGTATCGCACGAAAAGCTGGCTGTCTTTCGCGAAGAGTCGGCGGGATCGAGAATCTTTGAAAGTCAGCTTTAAAACGCGTTAATTACGATGAATCGATACTCACATCGTCTGTCAGGGTACCGGAGCAGATAACTTGCATCTCCATGGCCTTTTCTTCCTCGGACAAGTCGACCTGATCATCGTCCGCATCCAGCATGACACTATCTGCCTTTTCCACTCCCTGTGCCTGTGCCTGCACCTGCGCATTCGATTTGCTAAGCGCATCTCCCAGAGTTCGCGGGTAACGGATGGACACATCGAACAGACAGCGCGTTTCGCCGTCGTCTATGCACGGAAAGAGACACGACGCCGCACCGGGAAAGGAAGAGTTGCGCGTGTAAGCATGTGGGTACCGGGCATCTCCATCCTCCACTCCGACAAATTGCAGCGCGTCCCGAAAGTCGTCCAATTCGTATTCGATCTCCAGCTTCATCGGCGCATAAAAGGTGCCCTGGGCGTCGTCGGTCATGCCAGCCTCCGAGGGCTTCACTTCCCGGATTTTGACCTTGTCAGGCACGATAATGACCAGCTCATCTTCTGCGCCCTGTGTGTGTCGCGCTATCCGCTCTTTCGCGTAGTGATATTGTTCAAGACCGGTACCGGGATATAGCGTCAGGCGCTGGTGGAGGTTCGAATAACTAAAGGCGGCTTTTTCTCCTTCGATCTTGATGCTCGTCGGCCTCAGCTGCCGGCAGTTCAGCGTGATATCCCGGAGATGCGCTTTGTCCGGCTGGATGTCGAGCGTGGTGAGGCCCTTGACGCGGCGCGGTGCAAAACTGAAGTCGAGCTCGAGCTGCTGCTTCAACAGGGTGAAGGAGCCGCCCGACGAGGCGTCAGCCGCTACATCGGCGAGCTCGTTGGGCGCCATGTTAGGCGACGCAGGCGATGCTGCTTCCGAGTTGGCGACGGATAGATGGCGGTCGAGGGTTGAGCGGTGTTGGCTCAGCTTCTTTGTCGGCGATACGCGTACATGCCGGGAGTTCGCGACAATGGCCGCTAAGAGTAAGCCCTGGTCTGTGCGCGAAATATGTGGAGGCGCGCACTTCCGCGCTTCACTAATCGTCACCGAGGCCCACTTCACCAACTGTGAGAATGTGAAGTTCGAACAACCCTCTGGCTACTTTAATAGTGCTGTACTTAGATACCAGTCTTTGTACCACCATGATCACTATGAAGCGAGCTGGGCAAGTGCGTAAAGGTCGGTAAGACGTACCCCTAGTCTTCTAGGGCAGATTTGAGAACGTGGATCTTTGTTAAGTGAACTGGTGGCTGCGGCCCTTTCATTTCTAGGGCAGATTTGAGACCGTGGATGTTCAAAACTAAAGACTAGCTGTGATACCCACGTCTTCTAGGGCAGATTTTACATCGTGGGTTTTCAGAACTGGAGGGCAGCTGTGGCCACCCACGGTTCCTAGAGCAGTTTTGGCATCGTGGGTTTTCAAAAAATAGAGGGTCGCTGTGGCCCCTGCGTTTTCCAGGGCAAGATCGCAATCGTGGGTCGGTGAGACTCAATGGATATCTGTGTCCCCCCTGCCACCCCATTCGTCTTCAAGGGAAGGTTCGCAATCGTGGGTCGCACTACCTAACTTTAAGACTGGAGGGGTACCTGCGGCCCCTTGATGCCCTCCTCTCCTAAGGCAAGTTTGCTATCATGGGTCGCTATAGATGGTATTTGTCTGTCGCAGCTATACCTAGGTATCTAAATAGCACTATCAAGACCACGTCGTTTTCTCGTACTCACAGCTCGGTTTTCCACTCAAGCACAACGAAAGGTCATGCTGTCTGGAAGGGGACGTCGTCACTGGACCAAAGTCAATTCGTCTCTTGCTCCGTCTTCTGACTACAGCTACGTGACAGCTTCTGTTTGCTTAATGACTTCCGGAGGAGCATAAAACCCGATAGAACGACACTATGATGATTTTCGATACAAAAATCTGGATCTCCTACATACACTGTGACCACTCTACATCGTTAACCGCACTGTGCAGTAATATTACCCTGCCATCGTTGTCAACACCAAGCAAACTTCAGGTCGAACCCAAAAACGATCAGACACCCACTGCTGCGCATAACGCTCAGCACTAACCCCTATGACACAGCCAAATGAACCTGAACAGCCAACCGAACCTGAACAGCCAACTGAACCCGGGCAGCAAGTTGCCGCTGCTCTCGAACCGCCCCCAGGACACTGTTACCAGTACTACGAGAACTACGATTGCGGCCACATGGCTTTCGAATACGATCAACAATTCCCGTGTCCCACATCTCTCGAAACCGGCGAGTGCGACTGTACGGATTGGACACTCACTGCACTTGAAATCACGGTAAAGGAAAACTGTGTTCACTGCGAGAATGGGACAAGTAGGAAGTTGAAGAGAGCGCAGAAGGATGCCGAACGTGAAGATCGGATTCCAGGAAGCACGATGAGCATCGCGGAGAGCAATGAGAGGACGAAGAAGAAGAAGATCACTGAGTTCAGGGAAGAAGATGACTAAGTTCACGTAGACGGAACTTTACAGGATAGAATCTAGGTGTTTAGTTGAATAGTGTTTGATCTCTCTTTCCATGGTTTATCGAAGAGGTTTTCTTCTCCCTGTGATCATAGCCCATAACTTTGCCTTCTTCCCGCCGACCAGTGACACTGTTTGACGCGCCAAGTCAATGTAAAGCAGCATCACAGTAGCTATAATCATGCCATCGCAAAACATTCACGACCCGTTCCTTGACCATATCCCATTCAAGGACCCTATGTAAACGCTAGGTCGAGGAATAGTATAAGATCTCGCAAAATGAACTTATCATATCTGCCTCAACATCACGATCTCAATACACTTTTAGATACTTCGACGACTCTAGACTTATTTCATACCTACATTCCAAGTTACTACCGCTGGTCGGATCCTACATCACGAAGACAATATAGAAGATACGAACAATCCAAAACCATACACTCCGTCTATCCAAACATCAATCACTACCGGTACCACCGACCATCACACCTACCACGATGAACCAAGTCCTACCCGCAAACCTCTACATTCCCCAGCCCTCAAACCCACCAAACAGGTGCGAAAGGTACTATCAACCATATGCCAACTGCCAACACATGATTACTATCTTCGACACCATCATACGTTGCAATATCTACAGACACAACGGCAGATGTTCATGTACAACCCCCGTTACCATTGCTTACCCAGGTCTTGCTGCCCTAAATCAACCATGCATACACTGCGGTAATGGAACGAACGGCAAGATCGAGGAGTGGGAGAGGGAACATAGACGCGATCAAGATAGGAGGCAGCATCGGCCGAACTTCAATGGCATAGATGACAAGCTTAAGAATTTTGACTGTCGAAGATAGATGGGGTTTCGGGTTATGGTATGCTGTGCATTTTTTAGGCGTCGTTGTCTATATTTGGTGATTGGGAAGACTTTCTTTGTACTGTATGGTTTACTTTCATGTTTACAAGGCACTTGGCATAGTCTCCTAGTGGATTTCCCGCAGCAATTATACGGCAATGTGGGGTGCAGCGAGGTATCGGCTTCCTTTATTCATTCATGTACATCTTTCAGTCATATAGCCAATCGGATTCGTAACTCAGACTCGAGTTTTGTGTTCCATGATCCATCATGGACGACGCCTTTCCGTTCTCTTCCTTTATAATACCATCGTCATCTGTACCACTTACTACTCACCCCATTAGACACTCACTCAAACGTCCTCCTCCTCATCCCCACCTCCAACCCCAACGGCTTCCTCAAGAACCCCTCCCTAGTCTCCATCTCGCCCTGCCTAATCTCAAACTCATACCTCCTAAACACCGTGCCCACGATCAACGCCAACTCCATCTCCGCCACATTCCTGCCCACACAAGCCCTCGGCCCATAGCTAAAAGGGATGAACGCCGCTTTCTGCTGCTCGGTCACGTGTTCCCAGCGCTCAGGTCGGAACACGTCTGCGTCTTCGCCCCAGATCTCTGTGGAGTGGTGAATCGTGTATGCGGGGACGGAGAGGACGGTGCCTTGGGGGAAGTGGTGGCCGAGAAGTGTGATGCCGGGGCCAGAGGGGATCAAGCGGGGAAGACCGAGAGAGGAGGTACTGTGGATGCGCATTGTTTCTTTGATGACAGCATCAAGGTAAGGTAGATCTTTGACTTGGGCGTAGTTTGGAACGGCATCTGCATCTGGGAGCGCGTCGTCGAGTTCCTTTTGTAACTTTTGGACTACATCTGGGTGCTGGAGGCAGTGGTAGAGAAGAGCGCAGGAAGTGTTGGATGTGGTGTCTGAGCCGGCGATGAGTTGGGTGAGGGCTTCGGCAGTGAGTTCTTCGCGGCCGAGCTTCTGGCCGCTTTCGTCGCGGCCTTCCATTAGGCGGGCGAGGAGGTCGACGCGGTCAGATGGTTTCTCGAGACGGGCGTTGACGCGGGCGATGGCTATTCCGGCAAGGTTCTCGATCGCTTTCATGCCTTGGCTGAAGAAGGGGTCCGGGAAGTACTTTGCGTAGGGCTTTATGGCGGGGAAACATCCGATGGTGCCACTGACTTCACCTCGGCGGTTCAACACCTCGATAGCAGGCGCATACGTGATCTGTCCTCCCTTGCTGACCTCGGCTTCATCTTTTCCCTTCGCCAGCATACCGAACGGCTCGCCAAATGCCAGATCACCAATGACATCGAAAGCGAGGTAGTTAAACCAGTGGAGCGCATCCATATGATACCATCCTCTTTTCTCTTGAACACTTGCCGCTCTGCGATCCCACTGTTTCTGCAACTCTTCCAGGTTGTGATGAATATACTGCTCAAACTGCAATACACTCTTCGCAGAAAACGTATGAGAAACCGTCTTCCTCTTCCTCGTATGCTCGGCACGATCCCTCGTATTGAACAGCCCCCGTCTTATCGACACAAAAGCATCGTAGTACTCGCTCTTCAGGAATCCATTACCGTGACCGTAGATCTGCGGGATAGCGTCCGCATCCGCAATACTGACGTGATGCGGCTGAATACGAACAAGCTTTCCGTACTTCTTGTGTGCCTCGTGAACGGCGAGATAGCGTTTCCCGCGCCGGCATTGAGCCAAGAGCCAGAGGTTCGTCCAAGCGGCTGGGAACGGAGAGGGGATGTCGCGGATCTGCCAGTTGCGGAGGTAAGGCAAGATGTAGAAGATGATCGGAAGGAGTAGGATAGACCACGGCGTGATCAGAAGCGTCGTAAGAAACATCTTGAGCGTCGTGTCTGTCGAAAGCCAGAAGGTCGGTCAAGAGAAGAGCTTGGCTCTTTATCCGGTAAGAGAAACGCTCTAGCAATAGCACCGAGCCCAACGTACTCTTGTCGAAACTCTATCGTACAAAGCAGACTGACTCGCTTTTACCCTCTTGTACAAAAGGTCTAGGAACAGGCCTCTTATAGTCGCAGGTCGGCTTTTCGTCAACGCGAACCGTGGTAGTATTCACACGTGCGCGTTGCTTTCCCGACGCCAACGCGCGACCAACAGACGTCAGACCCGTCTCGACTCCCTCTCCAAAAACCCTCCTCTAGCCAATCGCACGGCCCCGAAAACCATCTTCTCTAGCCGTGTCGAAGGTCCGAAGGTTTCCAAGCCGGGCGCTTGACCCCGCCTTCCTCTAGTGCGCCGAATGTTCCCCGCGACCTGGTCCATCGTCATCGGGAGCGCGACGCCAAGCCAGCGCAGTAGCCGATCGAATAGCATCTTGTCCGAGAGTTGTGCGTTGATAATGGATGCTGATGTTTCGGTGTTGAAGAACGGCTGTGAAGTGTGAGGTGGTGGAACCTGAGACTTACCGACGTGCCTGCCGCATGTAGCTTACGCGGTGTCACGTCGGAAGTACTCGAAACGCGCCGAAGGTAGCACAGAGATCCCGCGGTCATGTCTAAATTGACCTTTGGATATATGAAAAGCTTACGAAAGCTTACGACAGCTGCGAGAGTCACCATGTTATCACATGAAGAAAGTAAGATATTTCAGAGGGTATTAGATTAAGAAACATCGCTATCTACCTAAGAACGTCCTCCCGCTACAAATGTCCCTAAAAGAGTCAGACAGGTAAAAGGTACCGTCTACTCATACAGCAAACGCCTTGTGGTATCATGCCTTCGATCATCCATCAATGTATCGTTATCCTAGCGTGTATATCGTCCACCAACATGTTACTTAGTTGTTGTCGTCATCGTCAGAGAAGAAGTTCAAGATAGCCTTGACCGCCATAGGGCCCAGCCCGTGGGGCGGGTAGCAAATGTAGCTTGGGTCGTCGACTGCACCCAGCTTCTCACGGAACTCAGTCTTGTTGGTGAGCTTGAGTTCGGTCGCAATGGCGTGGTAGGCGCGGCTGAGCACCTTGACGCGAGTGCCTTTAACGTTGTGTCCTGGGCTGAACTTAGAGCTAGCACCACCGCCAAAGGTGACGCTGGTTGCGCCGCTAGCAGCGACTTGCTTGAGAGCGTGTGTGACAATGTACTCGATTGAGCCACCGGGCGCGCCGGGGAAGTCGAGAGAGTACTTGACTTGCCAGCCGTGGTCGGGTGAAAGCTGCGCCATGGCGACAAAGGCAGCGATAGTGCCGTCGGGTGTGTAGGCGATGTGGTATTGGCGATGCTCCTCGTCTTGCCATGGGTGAATGTTGGTCAAATGGACCTGCTTGCCCTTGCGGTTGTTCAGCCAATCCGCTACACGAGCATCGACCTTAGCCTTGACGTCTGGTGGTGGTGGTGTGCCGAGGGCATAATCGCTAATCTTGACACCCTCCTTCTCCGCGTGGCGGATCTTGCGCTGCACGTCAGAGTCCTTGTCTGCTGGATTGTGGACAGGGTCTACACGCTGCTCTCCAGTGACAGAGAATGTGCGCCAGTTGAACTTGGTTGCAAGCACCTCCTCGGTGGCGTGTCCTACAAGAAGCCACAGTGGCTTGAGGTTGCGCTCCTTCTTGATGTACTTGAGGTAACCAGCCATGGTCTTGAGGTATTGAGACTCGTGGCAGAGAGGGTCACCGACAGTGATGGCGAACCCGTCTTGAGGTACGAAGCCGACAGCCGCACCGGTGTTCTCGTCGCGCCAGATCTCGGTGCGAGGCTCCAACCAGGAGGTGTTGGTGGCATCGCCGTAGTTGGCGATGAGCTTCTCGATAGGCTGGAGGTCGATCTTGGCAACCGCACGATCCTGTCCTTCCCATGGTGGATGCATGGTGCTAGCCTCAGGATGACGCAGCTGCTTGATAACTGGCCGCTCTGGCAAACTCTTCGGGTCGCGAGGGAACATGGAGGCATGGCGAATGTTTCCGAGGTTCATCATCAACATGAGAATACGCTCGAGACCGATACCACCACCACCGTGGGGCGGTGCTCCCCATTGGAAGCCCTGGATGTAGTCTTCCATCGAACCGGGATCAACCTTGAGCTTGCGCATCTTGTCCAGCAGCAAGGTGGAGTCGTGGATACGCTGGCCACCACTGAGAATCTCCTGTCCTCTGCAGAAGATATCGAAGGAGTTGGTGACCGTGGGGTCGTTCGGGTCGTTCATGGCGTAGAATGGGCGTGCGTTCGCGGGGAACTTGTCTAGAATGTAGTAGTCGGTTCCAAGCTTCTGCTTTATGACACGACCGAGCTGAACCTCATCCCTGGTACCCAGGTCTTCGTTCACATCAAGCTCGTTGCCATCATCGTCCCTCCAGCCGGACTCGTTCAGCATGCGAACACCGTCGGCGAAGGGAATGATGGGCGTCTGGTCCAGCCAGACCAAGTCCTCGTGAGGGAAGTGCTTCTTGATGACCTCAATCTCGGGACGGTATTGGTCGTAGATACCCTTGAAAATGGCCTTGAAAGTGCGGTCCAGCACACGGAGGACCTCGTGGTAGTGCTCGTCGATCTGCATCTCCAAATCCAAACCAGTGTACTCAGTCAAATGACGGTACGTGTTACTGTTCTCAGCACGGAAGACGGCACCAATTTCGTACACTTTGCCAAAGTCCGCAGAGATGGCCATCTGTTTAGCCAATTGGGGACTCTGAGCAAGGAAGGCGCCACGGCCGAAGTAGTCGATCTTGAACACACTGGCACCCGACTCCGTAGCACCGCCCTGAAGCTTTGGGGTGTGGATTTCGATGAAGCCTTCCGAATCTAGCTGGTTACGGAAGAGCCTGCAGATACCAGACTGGATGCGGAAGATACCCTGTGAAGCTGTTGTCCTCAGATCGATAACGCGGTTGTTCAAGCGTGTACGATCCGCAATCTTGACGCGGGTGTGTCCCTCCTTGTGGTCTGCATTCGCAAGCTCAGCGTCGACCTCAGCCTGTGAGACCTCGGCTTCGTTGACGTTGAAGGGTAGGTGGTCGGTGACCGCGGCCTCGACGTGGAGGGCGTGTACTGAAACCTCGACGTCGTGGATGGTGGCTCCGAGAACCTCGCCCTGCTTGGCCTTGGGCTCCTGAAGGATACCCTTGACCAGGACGATGGTCTCGGCGTCCAGGTGCTCAGCCCAGTACAACATGTACTTGGAGATATCCGCGTGCTCCAAGAGAACACCCTGGATAGTAGCGAGCTGCTGGCGGAACATCAGGAAGACGAACTTGGAGCTCATCTTCCTGAGATGGTGGATGCGGGCGCGGAAGACGACCTCCTTGCCAACATCCTTTGCGGAGAAGTCCTGGATCCTGTGGCGGGGCTCATGCTTCCACTCGCCAGCGTAGGAGTTGGGGTCGATGACACCGTACTTGGAGCGCTGCTCGGGAGTCAGCTCAGCCAATGCCTGGTCTTCCATCTCCTTCCTCCTCCGCTCGAGCTCTTGCTCCTTCTCCATGTTCTGCTTGTGGCGCTCTTCCTGCTGGGCCTGCTTCTCGTGCTTGCGCAGCTGGCCGCGCGACATGGGCTCGCCCTCGCGGTTGAGGGGGGCATCTTCGTCGCTCGAGTCGTTGCCAATGTGCAGCTTCTCCTTGACAGCTCGCATGGGGCTGTGCGAGATAGATCCGGAGCGGTTGGTCTTGTTGGTCTTGTCAGTGCCGGTGCGGCTCGGGCTCTCGGTGCGGCGGTGGAGGATGCCGCTGAGGGAGTTGCGGGGCTGGTCGATGCTGGTCCTGCTGTCGGTGGGCGAGGCAACGTCGGCGCGCTTGTGCTCGCCGCTTGCTCGAGAGCCGCCCAGGGTGACGGAAGAGCGCGGCGACGCGACGGGCGACTGTGCGCGGCCATTGACGGACGAGGGCGACTTGACGCCGCTCTTCTCGTCGTCCGAGGCCGAGGAGCCGTGGTGCGGCTTGAGCTTGTCAAGCGCTCTCTTGAGGGAACTCATGGCGGGGTGGTGCGAGAGCGTTGCCCGTGTGTGCGTGGTTAGACTACCTGAGCGCAAGTGGGGGCAAGCAGACGCGGGGGAGTTCTGCTGCTGAGGGGGGATGGAAGGTGTTCCTGGGCGAGGGAAAAAGAATTGCTATGGATATGCTAGCAAGGCCGGGAGACGCGAGGTTTAGTATACTGTGGCTGGCAAGGGCGCCTGGCGTGTATGCCGATGCGAGGGTGAATGGGCTATGACGTGACCCCCCAGTTTTCGGTACAAGATGGCTGCGTTTCACTGACAAGCCCTTCCTAGCGCCGAGCTTGTGCACAACACCGACCGTGCGCAAGCGTGACGTAGATGCTAGGGGAGTCCTTCGCTCTAGATCGTGCCTGGCCGTACGAGAGAATCCGCGGGTGCCGGAGGGAGTAGGGCAGATTAGGAGCGGAAGGGCGGGTATGGTGATAATGAATGGACCCCTCCATCACCACAGCACCGCGACTACTATCACGACATGCCTCTTGGACGTAAAGACACTGATATCAAAACTCTGCTATTCTGACAGAACGGCCCGCATGCACAACCCTTTGTCTTCGCTGACACATGCCGCCTCTCTGTCCCAATCGGTAAAGCTGCTGTCTGCGCCTGTCTCGTTCCAGCAGACCCGGTGCTAGTACAGGCAATGACATGCGAAGCTTTTCGAGCCAAGATCTTCAACCCGGCCTGCAGTCCACTTCAGCCACGGGTCGCCTATGTCAGCGTCGACAGTAAGCCATTGGGCCATGCAGAGCCATCAGTCACCTCCCAACAAGCTTCGGCGCTCGCAACTGACGACCGCCGCATGTGAAGGATTAGTCGCGAGAGACGGCTTGGCGTATGCTTACTCGTATTTCGTTGCGGCGTGCCGGGTGAAACCGAGCCTAGTCTCTCCGAGCGCACATGGGAATCATCGACTTTGGCGAAAGCCATGGCATTCTGCCGGATGCGCATGAACAAGGCACAGCCAACTACCAACAACCAGTCGCGACCCTCATCTCTCTGCAACTCCAAATCTCCCTCAAAACCTGCTGTTCTGCCGCTGCGTCACAAGGCATGGCCAGCAGTTGCGAAAGCGAGATGAAGCCCAAAAATAACCGATAACATCGACGATCGTCGTGCCGCAAACCAGTTCTCGCCAGGCACGCTGCGCCGCTCAAGATCGTATTTCACCATGCAAATCACTCAAGACGCCTGCCGATAACCGCCTTTCTTCCCCCCACCAAGATTTTTGTCGGCACATGGGCATTCAGGGAAAGTGGGCTTGACCTTGGACCCGTGTGCCACATTGCGGCTGGAATTATTATGGCTTGTCTCAGCTACACTGTTAGACCGCTTTGGAGCGGCAAGTCGTCCAACAACAGGATCTTGTGCCCCACAAACGAGATTTCGTCCCGCATATGACTTGCTGCTATGCTGTCATGGCTCCTGTTTGCTTGTCACTCTACTCAGTGAACACTCCACCTTGAGATACCGCAATCTCCACAACGCCACTCTTCCCCTGATGTGTACGATGGTAACTAAACATGCAAACCTCTCTGTATCTGTCCGGTGTCCTCTCTTTCTCTCACTTCTCGTCCACTCCTTTCCCAATCGTTCATCTCTCATCTGATGCGAGATAATTCTACAAGTGGTATTGCGTCGCGTGTCATAACCGCCAATCATAAGCGAGCTGCTCACATGCACGGTAATGCCTCGTTGCTACCAACGCACACAATCTGAAGTGCCTTCAAAGTATGCCATCGCGTCTGCCTCGTTCCTTGGCTTCGCTTATCGCCTGCGGTGTCTTCAGACGCGTCCACATTTTATCGCCCTTGTAGATGTAGATCCTCCAACTATCCTCCTTAATGGTAACGCCAGGTTCACCGTGCTTGGGGACCCCGCATTTAACTTCCGACCAGTCCCAGTCCATTAGCTCATCCATCGTAGAAACGGGACTTGACGTCTTAGTCTCTGCTGGCACGACGACGCGTGGATTTGACTCGGACAGTTCTGCGATATCCCTAGTCTTGAACACGTCGTAGATTGACTGCGAGATGGCAGATGCTTCGCGCGACAGCCGGGGTTGTAATTTGACCCATTCCCCCCTGATGGCTTCTCTGATTGCTACCAAAGTCTCGACATCGCCGTTTTCGTAGGCAACGCGGGCGGAGTGAAACGGGAGCTCGAGGCCATCCAAGCGGCGATGGATCGAACTGTAAGTACCTCGCACCGCATATGGCATTGCCCGATATATCAGTTGAAGAACTTCTTCGATAACGCCGTACGCAACCTTTCCTTGCTCGTTGTCCGTGGGTCCCGGGGCTGGCTTGGACTCTGTGATGGAAGAGAGCCACTCCTCTCGAAGTCGACCGTAAAGCTGATTGGTATGGAGGCTAGCGATGGCTGAGTGACGCTCGGTACCATGTCTACCGCAGCTTGTGTAATTTAGGGCCACCAATGTTGCTGTTTTGATGTTGCTCAGCGCTTCGAAAGGTCCTATAACCACAAAGACCGCTGCGATGATGTCTTCCTCAGACCATCTTCAGTAGTTTACCAGAGTAGGCCTAACTTCCAGCCACTTCAGCGAAGTGTTTCCTGATGTAAAGAAGTCGATAAATTTCCGCACGCTATCCCTCGCCTTATAGGCTTCGTATTCATCACCACTGATGCCCCTTCCATGCAGATCAAAATGAGCATCGGACCATCTCCGAAGATTGACGTGGACGGTAAGATGGCGGATGGATCTGGCTGACGGCGAAAATATCATAGAGAGGCTTCTGGACTCCGTACGCCGCCACCATAACTTATTTTGTAGCTGGATGCTATCTTGCGATATGTACGCATGAAATGGAGTCTCTCTATACAACACAGAAGAAGCCTCTTGATTGCCCTTATGATTAACTCGTAGAATAGAAGCGGCATGAACTTGGGGTTGATAATTGGGTTTAACGACCTCAGGAAGAACGTAACGATAAATCATGAGGCGCAATTCAGTCGGAAGCTCCATGAAGTAGCATGGCGCGTGGGTGTTCGTATCGGACATGGCTGGAGGCTGTGTGTGGGTGTCGGAAGCTGCGAGTGTCTTAAGGGTAGCGGTGGTATACAACAGTTGTCGATTTTAGTGAGTCGAGCTGAGGACTGTAGGTGTATGTAAAAAAAGTCAAATATCGCCGTGCTTTATACAACGCCGCTTCCCGATAAGTACCTGCCACGTGCCCGGTACGCGTCCCATGTTACTGCGATGACCCAGAGGCAACCCAGAGACGACGAGTCAACCACACCTCCTGCATTTCATACGACTCATACGCGAGGAGATACTCTACGAAAGAGAGAAGTATCGCATCTCCAAGAACCTCTGCCCGGTACGCGAACCCTGGTTTCGCGACACCCAGAGCAACGAGCTAGTAGCTACCTCATGAGTTCGCTTGCGATTGATACTTTGGGTGAGTCAATGTATACCTATGGTTCGCGTATTTCGAGTTAGTGGGACGCTGACGATGTGTTGAAGGACGACGGGATTGAAGCAAATCCAGAACTTTGCACCTTGGTCGCAAGGAGCGAGTAAACCGGTACCTCCCATTGCCTGAAAATGGCGACCTATAAACCACTGTGTGACTGCACCAACTGTATATACATATCGTCTGCTGCTCATCGACTCACTAGCATGACGCTTTGGGAGTGCCACCCCATCCTCTACGACTTACCCAGCACCCAAACCTCCCCGTTGCTCGATGTATCACTCGTCATGAACAATCTCCCCTGCGAATCCCACGCCAAGCCCGCAGGCCTAAAGCACCCAGAGCTGAAACTCGGTCCATTACCCTGGCATTTCTCTACAGCCGGGTTGTAAAAGATGTCCTGGGCCGCTGTGGTACTAGTAAGAGGCTCAACCGGAGTGTAGTTGCCGTCCGCACCAATCTTGAACTTCACAGCGACGAGCTTGAAGCCGGTGACGGGTGTGCGGTTCCAGCTACCGTGGTAAGTAACGTACATGGTCGTACTATCGGCGTCGAACTTGCAGTCGATGGGTGCAGAGTGAGGGAACAGCGTAAGCTTGGGAGCTGTGGCTGTCTGGACGCAGGTATCGTCGTTCATGTTGGTGCTGGGCTGTTGGACAAACCAATCGCCTACTTTGAAGGCCTTGTCGGTGAAGTCGCTGGGCTGCCAGACGGTGAAACAGGACGGGTAGCCGTACCAGTTGTTGTTGGGCTTGGTCACGTCTCCCATGTAATGGATCTTCTCGCCTGGGTTGTTGAAGTGAATATCTTTTCCGTTGCGCTTGAAGTCGTCGCCGCTGTTCTCTACGCCCCAGAGCCTGCAGCATTGTTAGTATTATCACGCGCGCTCATCCAAGCGAGGCTTACATGTTGTTCTTGTCGAAACAGATTCCGACGTCGTTACGCTGACCGTAGCCAGCGTTGTATCCTCCGGACACGTAGTTGTAGCCTCCGCTTGGAATCTTTGACAGATCGAAGACCTTGATAATGGCACGCGCAGTCTTGGGGTCCGACGTGGCAGAGTCAATGTTGGCATTCGAACCATGGGAAACGACCAGCAGATTCGGATTCTGCGGTGCGAGGGCAAGAGTGCGGGTCAAATGAGAGCCGCCGTTATACATGCCAGTAATGATCGTTGTTCGAGTTCCCAGTGTCCCAGCAGCAGCATCATATGGCCAGGAGTAAGCCTGAGTCATGGAACTGGCGTAGAGCGTCTTTCCGTCAGGACTCATCGCAATGCCGTGGTTCAGGTTGTTCTGCGAGACCAGCATCTTGGTAGAGGTAACACAGCCATCTGTACCCATCTTATGGTACGAGATACCTTTACCAGATTGAACTACTAACATGTTTCCTACACCGTCGAACTGAATGCTACGAGGGGCAGTCAAGCCTCCCGCGACTTTTGTGGCCTTCCATCCGGCTGCGAGACTACCCTGGAATGTGGGACTACCGGCACCGGAGCACGAGGCTGGAATGGCAGCAGGCGCGGCTGGCTTTGACGTTGCAGACGGTACGACGCTTGTCACGACGGTGGTCGGGTCAGCGGAAGGACTTGCTATGGGTGCCGTCAGCAGGTTAGCATTGACCAAGGAATCAAAATTCTCGATGCGTGCAGCGTCCAGATTGTGGATCCATTTTCCCCAGGCCGCGTGGACGTTGAATGCAGAATCATTTCTGGCAGGGTCCTCGACCGAAGAGACGCCGTAGGCCCAGGCAAATTGTGTTGTACCGGTGCCATTCAATGCGTATCTTTCATCTTCGTTGTTTTGCCATCCAGTGCAGCCTTTGCACAGTGCATTGACAGTCCAATGTGTAGCGTTTGTCTTTGTGCCTTTGAGGTAGCTGTGCTCGGCGCCATCGTATCCAAGCGGTAAAGCAATACCACTGTGGGATGTTAGAATCGTCATCGTCAACCTGGGTATGCATCATACAAAGCGAAGCGAGCAGATATCGTCCCGGATTGACCGTTAGGCCAAGCAACGCTCAATGGATTCCAGACCATATTGCCACCCCATGAGAAGCCGACCCATTGATTGGCAATTGGCGCCGTGATCCTGACGATGGCATCATACGGGTCTGTAACGTTCTTCGGAAGAGCAACACCAAACGTCATCCCTGTTTCGGGCTCCGTGTACGACGAGTAACTGATCTTCGTTTCTGCATCGTAGACAACAGTAGACTGTGCCTCACCTTCTTGAGCAAAAGCTTCGTTCTGTCAGTATCAACGGCTAAGGCGGACATTGAACTCACCATAACCAGCAAGTGCCGCAGCACTGCCAATAAGCTGGGTGTAGCGCATAGTGGCGGGATCTGTGGATAGATGGGCGTAGCTATACGTTCTTGACTGTCACCCAGTAGGCCTTTCCCAACTCTTTATGCGGCCAACTCCAACATTTATCGCGACCACAGAGCGAGCCACGAGCCATGCGGGGACATGATTCGATCTCGTCAATCTGTAATTTGCGTTCATTCCTCTGGTATGTCTTAGATGAAAATGTTGGAGAAAGGCTTTGGGAGGTCATATCGAACCACCAATCACTGTACTCGGGATTACGATATGTGACGGACTGCGTACACCAGGATGATCGCTTTGTAGCTTCTGTCTCGCGGATAGGTTTCAGCCTGAGTACATTGATGGAAATGGCAGGTTGATAGTCAGAGTCAGGTGTTGACATGGTACGATTGGTCAATGAAACTTGGTTCTATCAATTTTGATGAGCTGGAACCGCATTGTGACCCGGAACAATACTCGCGATATCCAGTACTCGCTCATGCAGTGTTACTGAATGACGCTAAGACTTGCAAGACCCTGGATAAGCGACGGCAGTTGGCACGCGATGCAAAGCCGGGATATAGATTGGTGGGGAGGTTCTATTGTTGCCTCGTCGGTATTGTGTGGATGGTGTTGCATTCTTCCAAATAGCCCGGGATCATTAGCGAACTCAAACGTGTGGGGAGCCTGTTAGAGCGTTGAGAGATCTAGACGTTGAGATAATCAGCTGCCCTGACTTAGTATCTAGCTTGTGGATCGACACGTCGATTAGTAACTCGAGAGGGAGTATTCGCGCAGTAGGATCCGTTTTCTCATCCAGTCAAGCTTCGTATTTCAACATCGTAAGTTATGGTACACTTTTCATCGCACGACGCGCTGCCTTTTCTTCGCATCATCTTTCTGGTAAGGCTTATACACGAGCCTTGTTCATGTACGCGTTTCCAAAAGTCCACAGGCCAAAGGTCGCGAGAATGCTCAGACCAATAGGCAGCGGCTTGCCAGACTTCATTGCTCGAGGAATAGAGCTGCCAGCGAGGATAACGGAAGCAAGAAGAGCCAACTCAACACCGTACGCTGCGCGGCTGTTGACACGGTAGCCACCGAGCATGTACTATTGTTTGTTAGATGCGCGCAAGGTGGTGATGCATGTAATGTGAGGTCATACCAGAAGTCCGACAGTGCATCCAGCGACGACTGATGGGATAGATCCGGTCCTCACGTAGCCGGTGATGCCGCCACCAGCAGTGAGAGCACCCAGGATGAGAGCGATGTTTCCGAGAGAGCCCTGAACCTCCAATTAGCATCCATTCTACATCATGACTCGTGCGTGGCAGCAATCGGTGATCACGTACCATTGTCGCGTCGTGTTCTGTTATCTTATCGTGCGATTCGTGAAACGAAATTCGGGCAGTCGCGTGAATACGTGAGGTCTGGAAGAAATAACTGAGGATGTAGAAGTTTCTCGTAGAATGCTGAGAGAGAAGGAAGGCTGGGCCAAGTCCATGCCATGATTTGCGGGGATCCAAACGGACACCCGAAGGACACCGAACCGCCGACGCGGTCGGTCGTCGTACCCCAGAGCTCGGACCATCTACGAACATCTGGCCTCAAGCTATCCAGCAGCAGCAGCGACAGCATCACTACTGCGCGTCATC